GCCAGTAAATTCTTTATTTTTTCTTCTTATGCGGTTATGATTATCTGCAAGTTCATATTAAAAGCCGGGTATTTTGTTAATAATTGGGATGTTATGATTAGGTGAGAACAAATCTATGGTTCCCTCTTAAATGAATTCATGTGTACATTTTTATCTCATTATCTTATTTCTCTCCCAAACCAAATAGCGCAGCTTACAACTCGAAATCCATATCGTTACTGTCATTCAAATTATCTTCCATTTTCTACTGTACGCCATCTACAAGTGCATGTTACTATTTCTGAAAGTGGACGTAATTTTACATTCAATTTAGAAAATAATGTTCAATCATGTTTAACAAAGTCATGTTTTATCCCTACACCGTAGGATTTACATGAAATGGTAATTTTCGATGTATCCAAAAACGTATTCCCGCCAACATTTTAGTCATAATAATTGTTGTAATAGGAAATTGTTTCACAATTATGATTTAATTAGCTAGTTTACTTTGACAGGCCTTTGGAGTTTCATAAACATAAAATGTCATTATCCCTGGCCATACCCACGTTCCATCACATTTTTTACATCGCACTTTCATTAATTCTAAGTTCACGGATTTTTTTTCGTAGTTCCTTTTGGCTGACTACTTTCTCTTATATAACTCATTGCTAGCACCCTTTTCTTGTATTCATTTGAAAGGGCATAACCCAAACTTAGATATGACCAACCAGCTGTCTTAGTTGCATTGCTTAATACAGCCCGCTTTATTCCTTAGAAATCAATTGTTCTACTACTATGTCATTTAGGTGGTTCTGAGAATGGATTATGTTTTATTTTGAACCTTTATCTAGATCGGCCAGTTCCACCCAATTGAAGTTGTCAGTCTTCAGCGCAACCGACAGCCCCATCGTATTGTCCGATCGGGTCAAAACGCTTCAATTTCGCTTCGCTTCATGTCACCAAAATTATGCCCCATCGATTCTGTCTCTTCATACAGCACTCCATTAGCGGACTCATTAGATGATATGTCTCGCCTTTTGGCTGACCCAATATGCAAAACTACTGGTCAATTTCTCACGTTGCCAAAAATATGCGCTCCATCTGATGATGGAATGTTGGGCCTTGCCGAATCATTGGGCGCTTTTCCATTACATTTACGAACGCTGCGATACCAGATCCAAATGAATGTGGATGACTCGAATACCAGGAAATCGAAAAGACCCGAGATCTCTTCTCCACATGAAATGCAGCCAAAAAGTGAGATCCCATAAATATGAAATATTGATATATTTTAGTCATATCCTCACAAAACATTGCCTTCGAAAAATTTATAATAAATATTGCCCTATTTACTAGTAAAATAACCCTTTATTATTTTTAGTCTCTGCTTTGGCTTAACATTATAACTCTTATAGATAGGCATTTTAACAGTGACAATTTATCAAAAAATGCCGGAGAATCATGCTAAATTATAGAAGTTGTTTGACCCTGTTTTCGCAACTCGGGCATATTGGTAGGAAGACTTAGAGGAACGCACCTAGTCCGGAGTCCATTATATGTATCATCATTTCCAGAG